AAACATAATTTAATGTTTTTTCTCATGCCTGCATCTATTAAATCTGATGTTCACAAAGAAATATACAACATATGAATTACTTGCAATCAGATTGTTGAAAAATCATGATAACTTGGTTAAAGTTGAGATGTACAAATATCCTGGCTGCCCTGCATCAGCATTTCCAGGGACATGCAGAGGCTAAATGTTAGCACAGTGAAGAAAAACCAGGACCTAGGATTTCATGCTTGTGTGTTTCTTGATTCAATTTGGCAATCTTAGAAAAGAGTACAAAGAAGTACATTTTTCAATGTACTGCTCTAGCACTATAACGTATGGAAACTATAGTAAGCTCTGAGCAAAGCCCTCAGTAGTTTCAATGACTGGCAAAAGGGCCTGAATGTTCCCAATTACTGTGGTTTTGCTGCTTGTATGGCTACCAGGCAAATAGAAGTTACTAGTGAAAAAAGATTTCTTATGTAAATGGCTCTACACTCTGCTTATCAAGGAGTGTATGTATGAAGAATCACCAAACATGCTATGATATGTAACCTCCCTCTCCCCCTTAGAGCCCCAGATTATTAGAGTGCTGTGCTAGCCAAGAAAGTTGTGCATGGTAAACCATGAAATTATTTGGTGATTTGCATGCAGTTTATAGACCCACTCAAAAATACTTTCCCAAATGCCTAATGCTCAGGGACACATACATTCAATGATGTGTAAATAAATAAATATTGAGACTGCTGGTCTGCCGTGTAAAGCCGGCTGCTGACAACTGCTGCTGCCAAAAATTTACAGTCTTGACATTTAGTTAAAGCGAGTACCCAGTAATGGTAGGAGCATCTAAATAATGAGTTGCCCAAGCAGCTTCAGTTTCACACAGGATCTGTGTAGGCTAATGTTACCAACTGTATTAAACCCCTAGTTCAAGCCACATGCTAGCAAGCATGAAGGACAAATGTTTCATCTCTGCCTTTGTGACAATTATGTTTGACTTCTTGTGCACCAGTATCCCAGGGGCATGGGACTGAGGTTCTCAGTTTCTGACTGACTTTCATGAGTTTAAAACTCAAAGCTTTGACTTTGACATAGAGAACTATTACCTAACAGACAACTTGCCTCTCTCAGCTATTTTTATCATTAAGGTTGCCCTGCAGTCTTAGTAAAATGCCTGCAGTGTTATTTCTCATTGTCATGACATCAAGAGCTACTTACCATTCATGGAATTATTTTGGTATGCAGCCAGTGGTGGTAGGGAGAAAATTATCAATGATGTATTGAATGCAGGTACTCCTTGAAATTGTCTCCCCTCACTGTATTCCTGCAGCATTCTCGTGTAATTCTCATAAAGATCAAGAGGAGAAAACCCCTCTGCTTATGGCGGTGAAAACTTCTCTGAGTATCACCTATAAACATGGTCATTATTACCTGCATAGTGTAATCAAATCAAGGCCTTTCTGCTTTTATGACCATTTGTGATCGTTTGACCTTGCCCCAAGGGATGACAAGGTCAAACATTCACAAACTCCTCTAAGACAGTTTTAGGCTGGACATAAAGAAGAACTTCTTTACTGTCTGATCCCCCAAGGCCTGGAACAGACTGCTGCCAGAGGTGGTGCAAGCACCTACTCTGGACTCCTTTAAGAGAAATTTGGATGTTTATCTTGTTGGGATCCTTTGACCCCAACTGACTTCCTACCCCTGGGGCAGGGGGCTGGACTGGATGATCTTCTGAGGTCCCTTCCAGCCCTAATGTCTATAATTAATTTACCAAATATCCCTAACACGAGTATTGTATTTTTATACAGGTATATAATTGCATTTAGGGCTTATGCCACTAAATACTAAAGATTTTCTAGTAAAGAACAGACCTCAGAGTTTATTACTATAACATGAAACAGTGCTCAAATGGTACCATTCTGGCTATTAACTGCATTTACCACATGGTTGTTCTTTATCCAGGAGCAATGCACTTCTAGAGACATGTGGTACAAATGTAACTCTCCCTCAGAATCCTAAAAGAGATGTTTTAGACATTCACCTAAAGTGAGTCATTGCTAGTTTTCATACACATATTCAAGCATATAGGTCCAAATTGAACTTTGATACATGCTTGCATAAGCAGAATTTGCCCATCATAACTATCTGGCCAGGCTGGGTAGATATGAGAGAAGTTAATCTGGATCTCAGTGAAAGACGGGTACTAATAGATAGTAATGGGTTTGGAGTGTTTTTTTAGTATTTATCACTTTCACCACTTCAGATGGAAATTCAAGAAAGTAATGCAGTGTCTTTCTACATACTAAAAAAACTGTAGGAGAAATTATGTTTTCCTGAACCTGCCTGTCCTTGTTTGATGCAGCATCTTGATAAAAGCTATTGTGAGGTTGAAAGCTATCTCAAAATTCTCACAGAGTTTTGTATTCCAAATTAATAAGAAGGAGCTGTTTCCTCTGAGAGCAAAGATTTGTTCATTTCTTTTTGCTAGTGGTAGATTAGTGAGGAGAAGCTGCTTTAATGTTCTTGGCTAGGGACAGAAGTTACACATAAACCAGTTTGTGATCAGAAACTGGTTTAAACCTGTAGCAGATCAGAAGTTCAGTGCACATAAGCCAGTTTCAAAATAGCTGAAACTGGCTTAAGATAAACCTGGTTGAATCAGACTTAACTGATTTGGGTCACACTGGTTTATGAAACTTCTGTCCCAGACCCCTTCCTGGTTCAAGTTAAATCACAATCCCCCAGCATGCTTTGCAGCCCTGGGCTGTGCTGTGCTGTCTGCTCCAGAGAGCAAGGCTAGCCTGCCCTTCTTCTCCCTAGCTTGGGACAGTGAGGGCTGGTTGACAAGGGGGTGGGGGTGGGAAACCTGGCTGGGGGCCACAGCTGGGTCTGGGGCATGGAATGGGGCAAGAGCCTGAGAGGGACTGCCCTTCACCCCCCAGGCAAACTCCATCTGGGGTCTCGGAGAGATTTAAATCTCCCCTTCCATGGCTCACTGTGCCTCAGTCTAGCAGAGACTGAGGCAGGCAAGCAGTTGATAGGGGCAGGAGGCATAATTCCCCTCAGCTCCCCCAGGCCCTGGGGGAGGGGGAAGAGTCTGGCAGGCACTGGTCCTTAAACCCAGGCAGACCCCGGCTGGGGTCTACTATGGTCCAGGGAGGGGATTTAAACTCCAGTGTACTAGCCCAGAGCTGGGACTTGGTTACACCCACTCTGCTGGGGGTGGGGCAGGTTGAATGCCTTGGATCTTCAGTACCTTCCCTTTGGCAGTGGCTGGCAGGCTGGGAGGCATGCTCTAGTGCACCCTGGCTTCTGGCCTGAGCCACTGAAGGCATGTGGCTGCATTTCCTGAATCAAAAGTGAATGCCTGTTCACCTGCTTCTCGGTTTAATCTCCGCAGTTTCGACTAAGCTGCTAAGACTGAATTGATTCAGCCTTGGTTTTTTTGGCTGTCTGTACTTAGCCCTTGAGTGTATGCCTACTTCTTTGGCTGGGCACAAGCTAAACTGTAACTAGATACTGAACAATCTGGGTTTCACATGGGGGAGGGGCATTTTTCTGTGTCCCCTCCCAAGTTTTGCTGTACTATTGCAGTAACTTCCATGTCTTTAATTGAATAATTTGTCTTTTTTACTCCACTGGGGTGGAAAATCATGACCTTTGGCAGCCTAAATCTGTGGCTATAATATTACTCATATATGCTCCAATTTGAGGGTTTTTTTCTCATGTGACAAGGAAGGTAACTCTGCACCCTATCCATTCTCATTTTGCTTTCATAGACCTTCATAATTTATCATAGCTTTGCTGTTGGGCTTAGTGGTCTTCTGGACAACTTTAGACATTTTGATGAGTCATCTGACATAGAAAGTCATAGAGAGTCTGCTTATGGGCCTGTCAGTTTGGACGGTGACACAGGTTTCTATTTAAATCAGCAGCTGAAGTGTGAATGTATCTGTGACATTTTTAAGATGGTTGTGGGGCCAGAAGTTGACCAGTGATTTTCATGTTGAGCACCTGCTAATTTTGGACTTAACAGTGTTGTGTGGTGCCTAGCCATGAATTTAAACAAAAAACCCAGAGGTAATGACATTTTATGTGAATAAAATGTTGGATATTTGACAACTAGATCATAGCATGTATTCAGTTGGAGTATAATAGCAATGGAAAGTGGTTCATTGACTTCAGTTGTTCTGTGTAATGACCTGTCCAAGAGTAATGGAAACCATGAGGGCTAATGGGGGATTGTTGTTGTAGCTGCTACAATCATGGCAGCAAGTATACTTTACAGCATGGATTTAGTGTGGCAGTAGCACTTTCTGCATCACGTCCCAAAGTTTTTGAATTGTTGTATATCTACATCTAGAAGAAGATAGACTACCTAAATCAGAGATGCGTAAGATTTCATAAGGAGCAGTGTACTTCATCAGGTGCTATAAAGAGTCCCTTCATATGCCTATGCATTTTTTCAGTAGATGCTATGAAGGGACTGTGCATCAATACATGCCTAAGTGTTCCATCATTTAATTTTGTAATAGTAGTATCTTGTAGTTGACCGAATTTCAGATGCTTTTTTATATTTATTTTATTTTGTTCAAGATACAGTTAGGGATAATTGAATATTTGGTTTGTGGCACAGAGAACTTTAAATTATTAGTGAGAGGATAAGATGAAGCCAACTCTATTTCTACTTGTCCAGTAGTTCACTGGCCAGAAAGTATACATCCTAATCTCTACCCATGCTCTTAGTGTATTTAGAGTTTCAGAAAGTGGGAAATGTTTGAAACTTTCAGGAGTTTTGCAGTTCAGAGGATGGAACAAAGTCAGTGGGTCTGTAGAATTAGTGAAGTAGAGGTAGTGTGCTGTTCTTGAATGCTTGCTACTTTTCTGTTTGGCAGTGGATTATCCTGGTGCTTTTCTGCCATTCCAGAGTGGGTCAAATTTGGGCAAGTACAGCACAAATCTGTGAGGTTTTTGGTTCCTGAAATACCATGACTTACATGTTTTTGTCTCTTTCATTTCAGATTCCCAAGAAGGAAATTACAAGTCAGAGGTGAACAGTAAACCTAGGAAGGAAAGGACAGCTTTCACCAAGGAACAAATCAGAGAACTAGAAGCAGAATTTGCCCATCATAACTACCTGACCAGGCTGAGGAGATATGAGATAGCAGTAAATCTGGACCTCACTGAAAGACAGGTACTGATAAATAGTAATGGGTTTGAAATGTTTAATATTTATTTCTACCAGCAGTAGGCAATCTCGCCACTGGTTTTCTGGCTGATTGACTTCACTTGTTTTGTCATGGCTAAAGTACCTATACAAGAGAGTTAGACGAGCTAATGTATCAAATTAAACATTAATTCTAAAATGATAATGTTAATTTTTCATGCTTGCAAAACAAATTTGCAAATTTAGTTAACCTACTAGAAACTCTACTTGACTCATTGTTTTTCCATATCTGTTTCTGCCTGCTTTCTGAATGTCATAAATTACATAAAAATTGGCAGAAGGTGACATTCAAAAGCGTCTCGCAATAGGCAAATTTAACTAAGGTTGCAGTAGGGTTTCTGGTAAAACTTAGTTAAAATAAGGAAGATTCAGAAGTATCTTGAAAGTTTTGATGATGATTCTGTTATATCCAAGATATAAACTTGAAACACATGTATTAGTTTAAAAGAAAAATATAAGTTAGTTTTATTTTTATACTAACAAAACATGTTATTGCTAATTGCAGAGGCAGGGATGACAGAGAAGAGGGCAGGGGAGAAATTTTGCCTTGATACCTAGAATATATGCTCTGCAACTCCTGAAACAGAAAATGTGCTTTAAAGTCCTGCTTGAGTAAATCAACCAGTTCGGCACATTCTAAATGTACCTACGCCAGTCTTCTGTAAAGAGTTTTCTACTGTGGTACATTTCCAAATGATGGCAGAAGTAGTGGGAGTCTAGATCAGAAAATACGATTTATTCTGTTGTCTTTAGAAAATCTGTTGTTGCCTGTTCTGTGAAATAAGAGGAGACAGTGACATTCTTATCATTGGTATTAGTTTCCTTCTCTTCAAGCCCAGATCCTACAAAACACATAAACACATGCTTAACTTTTTGTTATGGAGTCATACTGACTTATTAGTGGAACTGTATCAGTGCTTTAAACATAAGCTTGCAGTGAAGTGTTTGAGGGGTCTGGGCCAAACACACTAATGTTTTAATGCAACTCTTACTAATGTTTTAAAGTTCCTTTTATTTACCAGTAAATAATCCTATATACACACACATTGAGGACAGTTCTTGTCTACATTTTCAGCCTACGTGATCCTACTAAACACAATATTGCTATGTATTCATGCATATTTAACTCCTTCCAGATTGTATATATCACAATGATAAGTCTTCTGCATTTGATAAATTACTAAGGGACTGCATCTGAAACAAATAATCTGTGCTCAGGTACACAGAACCTGAGTAGCCTATTGAACTGATCCCATGCAGAAAAGTGTGATCATCTCCATTAGCTAGAATTCATTAGATAGATAGTAGATGATATTGTGAACAAGAGACACTTCGCCATGTGTAGTAATATTCATGTTACTGATTTTGGTGGTTAATTTAAAGATGATGGAGCTTCATGAAGCTTGATCTTATGAGAAGATGATAAAGACAGATCCATTACCCTGAATTTAGTTAACATTTTCTAAAAATAGTACAACTCAATTAAAAGCAGATCCATTTATAGATGTATACCTGTACATCCATATGTGCACAAGCAAATAAAACTGGGTTTACTGTGGAGTACCCACATACAAAGGGTTTATTCCAAAGACCCACATACAAGATGGTTTTCCAAAATTTCCTTCCTATACAAGTCAGTAATATCTCTTATGACATGAAGATAATGTCAATTAACACTAATTTTGCTAAATTTGAGAGTGAGCATTAAACCCTTGTTGTTTCATTGGAATTATTTTAAATTTTTTAGTACAGATATAATTAACACCCTTTTGGTATCACAGAGAAGGTATTAATTAAGATGTGGAGGGGGAATAAATAGTAATATTGAATAGGCTCAATCTTGCAATTCTTTCTCAGCAAAAAATGCCATTGAACTTAATATACTTTACAGACTTCAAGCACAGCCTTGCTTGAATAAGAGCTCTAGGAAAGTGCCTCACACTTGTTTTGACATACATATAATATGTGCATTTTATTGTCTGCACGGTCACCCAAGGGTCCAGAAATATTCAGATATTTTAAGTGGTAACTGATCCTCAGGAAATATTCTACACTGAGGCTATAACACTTTTATTATAAACTGAAAAAAAAGTTTTAAGTGGAGGTGTGGATTTTCTTAATGGTTAATGCAGCTTTAAATGGTGTATATTAAACATGACTAGAGAATCAAAGATCTATAGTCCAGTTTCAAATATCTCACCATTTCATTTATTTTACAGGATAAAACTGTCACAGGAAACAGAAATAGAGTGTAAAGGATTTTCTTTTCCAAAATTGTGTGTGTTCATATATAAAAATCAGTGTAGCACTGAATATTAACTTGGACAATCATATATAAATATGTGTGGATAGAATAGTAAATAGCAAATAAATCATAATTTATATTTTTGATTATCTGTGCTTAGTGTTCAGTGCTAAAATATTTTTTTCCGCATAGATGATTATTTAAGTTTTTAACGTGTACCATTTGTTAAAAACAATTCGGTTGACTTCAGTGAAGATGTCCCTGCCTACAACAGCAGTAGATTGAATCTAGTGTTTAATTGCTCCTTTGTAACTTCTATGTGATGCCAGCTATGAGAATGATGCTGATATTTGTGATCTTCTCTGAGTAATTGGAATTCTGTAGCATCTGGGCTTCATTCTACTCTGTTCTTCCATATAATCACATATGGCAATTGGACTACTGAAAGTGTTGTTGCTTCCCTTTTGTTCTAGTAGAGAGCTAAGCTTCTTCAGGAAGGAAAAGCTTCTAATGATTTTACACAGATCAAAGACAAAGCTAACCCTTTGGCCACCATAAGCCTATCTGTTGGGAGATGAAAAGGGCTTGTTGACAGTACTGAAAATGTCCTTGGTTGTCCACAACAAAAAGATGAATGGCAAGTGAAGGGAAACCTAGCATCATTCTTCAACATTGTTTTGCATTTTGAAGGTTACACATATTGAGCCAAATAGTGATGTCACTTCCAGAGTTATAAATTGGAAGTATTGCTACTGAAATAAATTGAATTGCTGTAGTGGAAAGCTGGTGCATGTAAGCAGAAGCAGGCATTTTATTTCCACAGTGTATATAAACCTTCAAGAGGGGAATTCTGTAAATCAAATGACCCGGTTTTCCTCTGCACTAGTTTTACATCTATGCAGCTTCATTGACTTTAATTAAATTGCTCCAGGATTAAACTGGTACTGTGCTGTGTGATTACACAGGTGGTATTATTTCCTCTTCCTAGAATAGGAATGCTTCTGACATATTTGTCATTATAATTATAACAGAATATGTGTGCTTGTGTGTGCCACCAGTATTTACACATTTGCATATTATTCTTATAATATCACCTAGTATGATTCAACTTAGATCCAGAGCCCTGTTGTGCTAGATTTTATACGCACAGATTAGGAGACACTTTTTTCTCTAAAGAGTTAATGATCTAAACCTACTGCTGGACATTCTCGGGTGCTAAATTCACTGTGCTTGGTTTTCAGACAATCTGGGCATAGGGCATGACACTGCTGGAGAATTGTCATTTCTGGAATACAGCCATGTTTTAAGAAACCCTGTTCAGGACATCTCTCTCTTAATCCCAACAGCAGGAACTGATTGTTTGTTTGTTTGTTTTTTGTTTTTTAATTACTAGGATGCACTGAATTGATTAAGCCTATTATAGCAAGTGTTCTCTTGTAAATATCTTTTCTCCTGGCCCCATGGAGCTTTACTATAATGAGACTGTAGGGCAAGGTATTTGATATGTCCTCCTTCCTGAATAGGGTAAGACATGAGTTTATATCCTGCACACCAAGCTATAGGCAAGACTATGTTTGGAAACTTTTTAGTTCTTATGGGAATACTTGTTGAACATTCTTCGTGCAAAGAGCATTAAATTTAATGTCAGATAATGCAGTAACAAAAACACAGTAGCCTGTAGCCTGGACACCTTAGACATCTCCATTCAGAAATTAAGTTTGCAAACAGAACTAACCATTGATGGAATTACTTTTGATATGATGTTTTTATTAAGACTTGGTAAGAAAAAAAAAAAAGAAAAAGCAAAATCAAATTTATTGTACAGAGGAAAGAGGCACGAATAAACAGGGGGAAACTATTTTCAGGTCATCCTGAAGTTACTTCTTTCAATTATTTCCCAAGATGTGACAGATGTGAGATAAATCATGAGGCCTATTATCTTAGGAAAGCTCTATCTTCCTCTTGACCATAATGATAATTTCTACCATACGTTAAAGCTTAAAAGGGACATCAACCAACCAACACTTCATAATTACCTGTCTGGCATTTAAAACAAACTATAGGAAAACATATGGTGGACCACTTTTAAAAGCTATGTGTAAGTTTCCTATAGACATCAAAATAAGCTCAAAGTAAATTTCCAAACAGCTTTTGAAGTTAGCACAAATATAAATGCCTGGTGGAAGAACATGTCCATGAAAAAGTGCCAAGGATGGACAAGTCCTAATTTTTGTGTGTTTGTTTGTACATTAGGTAGTATTATTCATGATGTGTGAATCAGGAGATACCATGATTTCTGTTGCATCCTAGGTTGAGAATCTCTCAGGGTTACAAGGCAGAAGAATAAAAAATGTATGTCTCAAAAAAGTCTTGAACACCCAGATAGGAAGAGAGCACTCTAAGAGCATTTTAAGCACATCTGGTGGTAGGATGACTTTATTATGGCATTGTAAGAATTTAAGCAATATAGGTGCATATAATTCCTGCTCCATCTCCATGTCATAATCCCTGCTCAGTCAGCAGTTAATAATTTTCAGCTGGCAGGCCTCTCTATATAGTTTGAAGAGCCAATTAGTCTAAAAAAATCCCTAGATATTTGTAACCTTGACAAGCGCATTCTTGGCTTTTTCTGTCCATCCAGATAAACTTGGAGAAGTCTCTATCCAAACTTTTAATATCTCACTGTGGGATGAGGAGAGGAAGCAGCTGCAGTGGGGTATAAGAGGCGTGGCAAAATGGACATTTTTATAGGGTTGATCTTGCCAAATATAGAAAGAGTGGGAGATTTTTCCAC